AAAACTGAAGACTGCCAGCTTGTTTCCAAGAGCCACTTTTTTTTCATTCAAAGAGAACTTGAAATGGCTGATGAAAAGTTAAATGAAACGCCTATTCTTAAGTCTGCCAGAGCTGTCCAGCTTTATGAAGACATTCAAAGGCATCGCTTGGGAATAGTGCAATCTTTGGCGGCTGTAAAATCAGAAGCTGAAGATATACAGGACAAATTAAAGCATCGCATGATGCCGCCTTTTTTTGGTTCTTCTCCGCAGATTTTGCAGCGTACCAGTGAGGTAATCAAGGAGCGGCCATTCACAGCTATAGGCAGCATGTGTTTGCTTGGTTTTATCAGTGCCGCTGCTTGCAGCGGGAAGAAACAAGGGCAACAAAAGCCCAACGGAAATGAAAAGATCCACTCTATAACTGATACCGTTGTATCAGAGGCGAAAAATACTTTGCGTGTTGTTATTAGCGCTCTTTTTGAATCATTCCGCAGGCAGATGAATGCAAGTCGAGGAGATTATGCACATAATGGGCATGATCGATCGCCGGCTGTAAACGGCGGTTATCCGCTTCATCCGTAATCAGCAGTCATGTTGCAAGAAATAAAGAGTCCTATTTCACAACTAGGTCAGCAGATTATAAATCCTGATAATGATCCGGAAGAAGTTTCGAAACGATTCGTTTTCAGCGACTCTGCGGCCACAGCTGTTTTGGCTGTGCTGGGTTTGATTGGGCTACTATATGTGGGTCGGCTTTTTTTTATTCCATTAACTTGTGCAGCCCTATTATGGTTCATGTTCATGCCGGCAGTACGCTTCTTGGAGCGGCATAAGATTCCAAGATTATTTGCCGTGTTGGCAGTGCTATTTCTCTTTATCGGGGGAGTGTCGGGTCTCGGCATTGTTTTGACGGGACCTCTGGAAATCTGGACACAGAAGTTGCCCGAGCAGATAAGAGTGATAGAGACCAAAGCCCATCAATGGAATCGATCGTTTAAAACAGTTACGGAAACCGCACAAAAAATTGAGGGGATAACCGACGTAGGGCCGCCGGTACCGGAAGTTAAAGTTAAGAATAGTTCATTACTCGAAAGTTTTATCGATAGCAGTC